GTGAAATACAGCTACTTGGTCAGTGGATTGGAAGAGATTCTTATTTGTGCCCATTCCAAAAAAATAAAAGGGCTACAATCAACATGCAACAATAATGTGGACATTATCAAACAATATCATTAATATGGCATACAAGTAAAATGTTGCTGAAGATTATTTTTAAAATGATTGGAGATGTACATCAATAGGGAACTGCCAGAAAATTCAGGTTTGATTCAGAAGAGGCCATGAAAAGAGGAATATCGTTGCTGTCAACAGATGGATTTTGGCTGAAAGCAGAGACTGCCAGAGAGGTGTTTACTTGTGTTTTATTAATTATGCAAAGGCATTTGAGTGGGCTCTAGTGGCCTAGTGGCAAGAAGCTGTGCTACAATTCCGAAGGCATGTAGTTTGAGGCCACCAGCTGCTCCATGGTAGCAATCTCCTCCCCTGTGATTAACCACCTCTGAAAACCCTCTGGAGGGTCAGTTATGGGTCAGTTACGACTCTACAGTACACAACAAGTCATTTGACTGTGTGTGGATCATAATTATGGGAATTCCAGAACACTTAATTGTGCTGATGCAGAACTTGTACATGGACCAATAAATAGTTGTTTGAACAGAACCCAGGGATACATGTAACTACATGGCTTGAAATCAGGAAATGTGTGCATTGATCACTTCATCATGCCTAATCTATATGCTGAGGAGATAATCTGAGAAACTGGTCTATATGACATCAGGTTTTAAGGAAGATTCATCAACAAGCTACCATATGCAGATGCTTGCTGAAAATGAAGAGGACTTGAAACACCAAAGAAGATCAAAGACCAAGGACTGTAACCTTCACTATAGATTATATCTCATCATTAAGAAAACACAAATGCTCACAATTGGACCAATAAGCAACATCATGATAACTGGAAAAAAGATTGAAGTTATCGAGAATTTAATTTTTTTTTTTTGTTTGCCTACAATCAATACTCATGGAAGGAGCAGTCAAGAAATGAAGTGATACATTGTGTAGGGTAAATCTGCTGCCTCAGATCTGTTTATGGTGCTAATGAGCGAGGACACCATTTTAAAGACTAAATTAGGTGTAACCCAGCCCATGATATTTTCAGTTGCTTCATATTCATGTGGAAGTTGAACAATTAATAAGGAAAACTGAAGAAGAATTGATGTCTTTGAATTCTTGTGTTGGCAAAGAATATTGTATATACATACTTCTTGTTGTTGTGTACCTTTGAGTCAAGACTGACCCATAGCTGCCCCTCCAGCACATTTCCAGAGACCGCAAATTGTATGGAAGGAGAGTGTCCCTCCTTCTTCCATGAACCAGCTGGTGGATTCGAACTGCTTGTCTTTGGGATTGTAGTGCAGCTTCTTACCACTAGTCTGGCAACCCATTGGTACATGGTTTGACTCTATCAGCTGTACTGTGGAAGAAAGATGGGCAATCTCCTCTCATGTGATTAACTGCCTCTGAAAACCCATTGGAGGATCAGCTATGAGTTGGTTCTGACTTGATAGTGCCCAACAGTACACATACAAGTGATAGACAAAAGAAAGAACAAATCGATTTTTGAAAAAGTGCAGATGGAGCGCTCCTTAGTGGCAATCATGGTAAGACTTTGTCTCACACACTTACACATGGTATCAAGAGGCGGCCAGTCCCTGGAAAAGGACATCGTGCTTGGAAAAGTGGAATGCGCAAAGCAGAGGAAAGCTTTCAGTGAAATGGATGGAAAACAATGGGCTTAAGCACAGTGATTGTGAGGATGGTACAGGATCAGGCAAAGCTTAATTCTGTTGTATATAGAATCACAATGAGTGGTAGGCAGGGAATTGAGGTGGCTTAGTGGTAACACAAAGGCAAGTGGTTTGAATCCACCAGCTGCTCCTTCAGAGAAAGGTGGGCACTCTCCTCTTACACTATTTACTGCCTCTGAAAACCTGATGGAGGGTCAGCTATGAGTCATTTCATAACTATATGAAACTATTTCATAACAAAACCAATACCTCAAATCCCACACTCTGCCCAGGGTGAGAAACTGAAGTGCAGAGAGGAGAAGCAGTTTGTCATCTCTGTGCCAGATTAGAAACAGCCTGCAAAAGCCAGTGACATGAGAGCTGGAAGTCATCTATCACCTGCTACACCAAACTAGACCAGAGCAGAGCAGGTTAGACTACTGAGACTGGGAAGTGTGGTCTGCCCTAGGTCACCCAGTGACCTTGCCCTGTGCTGTGATAATGTCATTCCTTGAGTGAGAAAGTTTTTGTGGCCCATCTGCCCCTAAACCATGTGCTCCCTGAGGTTATCAAGGGTCACGTCCATCTCTGTGTCCCTCAGTGTCCTGCCTGGTACCTGTCAGTGGGACACAGAGACAGACAGGTAGTAGAATGAGGTAGCTGATGCTTTGTCATGAAGGTGTGTGAATGCCGGTGAAGTGCTCAACAAGAACCTACTTTGCCTGTTTGGCTGTGCTCAACAAGAACGTACTTTGCCTGTTTGGCTTGGCGGGGCCACTCGGGGAGGATTGGCTCCAGACAGAGCAGGTGTGAAAGGGGCACTTACATACCTAGAATGGGACAGAAGGTCATTAGGGGGTGATGGGGGGGGGGAAGAAGCAAGGGACAGTCCAGGTTACATTCATGCCTCTGGGACAGGTGGAAGAGTCTATGAAGGGGACCTATGTGCCCAGGGCAGGAGGTTTGCAGGAAAAGGAGGGAAAATGGGAGGAGGGGGGGAGAAGAAAATGCACAAGAAAAAGAAAAGAAAGAAGAGGAAGGAAAAGGGCTAGCTGAGGAAAATAAAAAGTCC